GAAGTGCACATATGCGGACGAGAACGGTCGAATCATTTACAAGGTTCACTCTACTTTGGCCAGAACGACGATAAGCAAGGTCATACCGGGTGACATTCCACGACGGAATAGTGAAAACGAGAGTGATACAGGAGACCGTTTTGCGCATCTTGGTCGGATTGATTGGAAAGCCATGTACTCGGTGTTGGTTCTCGGTGGTGAAGAGTTTAGCACGAGGACTTACTTCAAAAGAGACGGTTTTACTGGGGCAATGGGTCTGTGAGTGTCGAGCTCGTTGCAATCCTCGCTATGTATTCATACCGAAATGTCATTTGATTGATAGGAATCGTGTATTCGTTGGAGATGATGGAAGGGAATATAAGTGGCTTTTAGGGTCTTGGACCTCAGAAGTTCGTTCTTGGTTCAGTACCCCGTTGTCAGGCTTGTGCTCATAAATGCAAGCTTACGTTTAGCTGCGGCTCAAGAATGAATACAAGACTCTAGTTGCTAAACTCATTCGTGGCAACATTGGAGGGATATTTGGTCAAAAACGACCCGCGGTTTTGGAAATTTATCCAGCTGGAGAACATATGGTTGATCTGATCATGCTGACCTTTCTCTACGTTGAGAGCGTGCGGAGAAATGATTGACTGAGATGGGGAACGTCTTGTCTTTTCCTTTAGGTCTATCTCGCGGACACAAGTCTTCCACTCGACCTCGTGCATCTTCATATTAACCATGTGAGGTTACCCTAACCCACACTCGGGTAGTTAGTATAGTCAATCGAACGTGTGTGCCCGCAGCTCTACCAAGCCTCTACAGCTTTTATGGTCTCAAGTAATTTCAGGCTAGACCCTCTCGGTACGCTGCCATGACACTGCAATGAAAGAGGCTAATCCTTAAAATAGTGGCAGATCGCTCTCTTAGGACAAGATACCGTAGTCATCAGACTACTGTATTCCCTCTCGCCAACATCACTTCCTGCCCATTTGAGGCAGCTATGTAACCCATCAACCGCTCGCACATTATCTGCACGCCCTCCTGGGGCAGTTTCTCTTTACCTACATGGACAACAATGCCCGGATTGTCCACGAGCTTCATATTATGACAGCGTTCTGGGTGGCATGACGACTATAACTTTGACTAGACAAGTTACGAGAGCTGAAGAGACTATAAGTGGGTTGGATACCTGGGTACCGGAGGTTCGTCTGCTACAGACTTGCCTGCCTTTTATCTCGACTGAAGACGGACTTCGTTAGCATCATGCTCACGCGAGGAGCCCAGCGACTCAGATTTCCTCTGCATGGGATGAGTTCGTTGAAGGAACTTGGTCGATGACTCAACCTTAACGTCTTCCCTCCTCTACAGCACCCTCGCCGCTGCTCTCACACAGACACGGATTGCGATGACGTTTTTCAATTTTGGTTTTTCAGCTGTTGACGGCTTACGAAGTAATACAATGTTACCGTAGCACTTAAAAGTAATTCAAACGGAGTACCTCAACAGCCCTTAAGCAATTGATTTGTGCCGTCATTTCATCACAATCATCCCTTAAGGGTAACAGAGTATAGGTCCTGCGTTTGGATGAGATGCTGTTCGATATCTCCTGATGCACATGTTTCCGGGAACTCAAGTTACAAATTTCCGAAGTAGTCCATGCTGCGCCTATCCCAGGCGCCCTACTTATATGTCCTCTGTGAGAGGACGACGTTCAGAACCTCGAACCTGAAGATCGGCGTCCCCTATTAGTATCACATCGTCTGAGGGCGGCGTAGTGACTGGCCATGAAGTTCACGCTTTCGGGAGACTACGTCAACTCTACATATGCGGACGAAAACGGGCGAATCATATACAAGGTGCAAACCACTAGCACGCTACCAGGCGGCTACACGAACATACTCAAGGTTCTCCCTGATGACATTCCACGAAGGGAGAGCCTGAGCTTGGATACCAGTGGGGGTGGGAGGGATTATTTGGGGGATAGATTCATACATATTGCTCGTATCGATTGGAAGAGCTTTCACATTTTCTCTCGCGGGGAAGATATACCGACGAAGACGCTCTTCAGAAAGGAGGGATGGAACAGGTGAGAAGCTGAACTTTTCCCCTAGGCTTAGTAGTTCGTGTCGACCACTGAGACTTTTATTCCGCGCATCTAGAAACCGTATCTTTATGGGAGATGATGGACGAGAATATAAGTGGGTTTTAGGCCCTCGGCAACCAGAGGTGTGTCGATTCTTTTTTTCTTTCATATATACACCACGGCGTTGTGACTGAGTGCACATCATGATACCAGCTACAGCTAAACGACGAAACCAAGACTCAAGTCGCTAAATACCACCAGAGGAACGTTATGGGCATTTTCGGTGAGAAGCGGCCGGGGGTTTTGGAAATCTTCCCAGAGGGAGAGTCCATGATGGACACTATCATGATGACTTTTGTTTACATCGAAACTGCACGGAGGCGAGAAAGGTGAAAAAAAAATGGACGGATTTCGCTTGATCCATCCCTCTCTTTGCCCCCCCTCCTCCCCCCCATAGGATTCACGATACCTGGACGACCTGTAGAAGTTTCTGGCACCCCTCTCAGTCCACCCACTCACCAACTATTTCACCCTATTATCCAGACTCATACTGAAAATGTTCCAATAATCGCGCATGCCTCGTCGAGGCCGATTCCAACAAGGCTCGAAAAGGATGTCCAACAACATCTCAGCTGCCACCACCGCCTCCTTCGAGGGTGCGGATGGTCTTCACGCCTGTTCCGTGTTAGCCGTGGGCTTTGTGATCGAACTATGATCCCATTTTTGAAATTTGGTGAAGGCGTGTGTTCTCCACTTGTAACATCGTAGTTGATTGATACATTAAGTATATGGTGTTTAGTAATTTCATTTTTCCTTAGCTGAAGAAAGTGACTACCACACTGATGTCGTCTCTAGAGCATACGGTTAGAGTCAACTCCTTGAGACGGGGAATGTGGCTCACCGGAATTGCCTAGACCGCGGAGAGGTCATGCTCAGCAGGGCATCCGTAAGATCAGCATCTGCTCCTCCAAGCGCGTTTCTAACCAAGTGCGCTGCAGCACTACGGTCACGGTTGACGAAACATTTCTCCGCTTGCCAAAACTTGTAATAAAAGGTATCGTCCTTTTGCAATGTGACTGGTAACTGGTTGGGTCGGTACGTGTTTTTATCATCCTCCCTCTTCTTCTCAAAGTCTTTCTTCGGGTTCTTGGTTATGACTGCATCGCCGTTTTGTCTTAACCAAATGCCTACCAGACCAACCACTTCCTCGTTCGTTAAGCAGTCCCATAATCCATCCGATCCCATAACGAGAAAATCACCCGGTTCGACCACAAAGTTTGTCACCACAGGCTCCGCAGTAAGATAAGGAGGAGTCTTCTTGTCATCCATCGGGCGATCTCCGAGAAATCGCGTATATAACTTCCTCTGAGTCTCCACCGACCATTTGTACGCCGCATTCCCGAATGCACGAGTCACACGCCAACCCATCACTGTTCCATCCTCAAAGAGGTTTTCTCCAGGATGCTCGGCTTTCATTCTTGCTACTTCAGCTGGATTGTGAGCATTCTGATCGACGGTGAGAACGTGTACTGCGTACGTGTCCTTTCCACCATCCTTCGCTTTGATCTTCCGCCCTAAGACAGCCCTCGAGTCGCCTGTTAGAGCGATGCGAAGCAATCGCGTGTCTGGATCATAGATTGACACCAATGCGCAGGATCCAGAATAAGCTTGTCGCAGGGTGCGGACAGCATTCGTTTTAGAACTCGAAGCGAGGACTTCGCTCGGGTCTGTGATGGCTTCATCGATTTCTCGAAAGACATATTTAATGGTGTCATGAACGATACCATCCTCGAAAGGGGAGAGTCCCTGCGCCTCGAGTGAATAATGGTATTGCTGGGGAAGCTTGGCCAGGGAATGTTGAAGGAACGTGATCATATTATCTGACAAGAATTCACTGGTTGCTGTCCCGTGGTGTCCATCAAAGAGACCAATAAAGGTTTTGTGTTCCGTCTCATCATCCGAGTCAAAGTAGACAGCGATGTAGTCCTCGGATTCTACGTTTCTGTGCAGTGACAACAAAAAGAAAACATCCTTTCAGTCTTTATAGTCTGGAGGATAAAGAACACAGCAGAACGCACGATGGAACCGTTAGAGCATCACAACGATCAATACCAGGACGTCTAGGCCACCACGAAGGACCTCCTCGTAGAATTTCGTCAGCTGAAAGATACTGTGCGGGTTTCCATCTTGGTTTTTTGAAGCGAGAGGGAGAGGCACTGGCTCCCTCCGCTTCATCATCCACGTCAAAATCGCATTGTATCTTTTTCCCATTAGCCATAGCTATTGCTGATCCAGCGACAATAACAGTGACTGTAGAGGAGATTACAAGGGTACTGCCAGGGTACCGCCGCCGTCCCAAAGGAGTGGTGAAAGTGGGATGCCTCCAGCCCGAGTGCTGTCTAAGAGCGCGAGCTAACGAGTTGAAGAGACTCATACTCTGTGTCTACCACGCGTGAACGCGCTCGCCACAGATGCCGTTGTCGACCGAAGCTGTTGGGATGATGGTAAGGAAGAAACAAGTTATGAGCGTGTGAAATATTCAGGGGTACCCGAAGTTGAGGCCTATGCATGAGGCAGCGGCGCAGCGGCTCCTGCTCTCCACGTTGTTTCACGGCTGGCTTTGTTTTCCAGCACTTTAGGGACCAGTTCCTGGTAAATGTTACACGTCGTAATCCGTGTGAGATCGAATGCTGCTGAGATTGGGGATATACAGAAGTCAGTGCAAAGGGAAATAGTCAATGCAATCGACTCAATCGCGTTCCGGGTACAAGCCCCCTCATTTGAAGACATGCCAGCTTTTACGACTCGATGACTGGATATCTTCGTAAAGTACTGGAGGGACACTTGCTGGGAGCTTGTTGGCACTGAGTACTGAGAGTGACACCTCGAACTGCCCCTTGACCTTAATATTATGTAAGCTCCGAATCCAAGCAAGGAAGCCGCTGTGGCGCAATGGTTAGCGCGTCGCTTTCCTATTGATCGAGGTGAAAATGCCACAGAAAGGCGAAGGTTGCGAGTTCGAGTCTCGTCTGCGGTTGTTTTTGCTCTTTTTTCTATTTCAAAGATAGATTTCAGGATTTCAAATGGTAAACGAGGTGTAACACGTAGGTGCGCCCCAGTTTGAAGGCAATCAGAGGCTAGCAATGCCAGGCTTCATCAGAAGTTACAGCCTGCAGACCAAGAAATTGGTACACGGTTGCGTCCATACCTGTGAGGGCAGAGCGCCACCACCGATGGGTCTGACGGTATAACTAGCCTGAGAGCAAAGATGTTACAGCCCTCAAAAGGAAAGGAGAAAAGAATCACAAACAAGATTCGAACTCGCTAACGGTCTCCGAGCCACTAGGCTACTACACTCTTAGTACAAGGCAGCAACTTCCCCCAAGCACCCTGTATTGGGCACCCAAATAGCTCCTCCGCAATTTGAAAGACCTCTTCTTGACCGTCTATATGATGATGATGGATAACACAAAGGACATCGCCGGGAAGCTTGGCGCGAAAAAAAAAAACTTAACTTCAGCGGGCTCTGGTAAGAGAAACAGAAATCTATTGAGCAACAATAGGCTTGTAAATCGAAGAAGGGGGACCGAAAAGTCAAAAACGAAAACTCACAATAGTATCCAAGCGGTAACCCTCACTTCTGAGTTCAAGAGAAGGAACTGAGTCCTGAATCCCAATCTTCACCAACCACCGATCCATCATACGGCCCAATCTCCTTTTTCCCTCGGATTTGTACCACGGCTTGGACTGGAATTCTTTTGGTGTCATCAAAGGCTCATCGTCGCCTTTGAAGGCCGGTAAGTCGACCTCGATAACTGTCTGGAGGACTTAAAGGAAGGGAAGTGACAGTAGCGAACGTGCCAGGGCGGTGAACCTGAGAAGGAGATTGAGGAATTAAAAAAAAGTGAGTAGTTGCTCACGATATTGTAATGAGAACGGAGCCAGTTCATCCGAGCAATGGCAAGCCTGAGGTGAGAACGAGGATCCTGTATGGTCGACTTTTCTTCGCCTGGTCGAGCCACAACACCGAAGAGAGGGCGATCCATCCAGGTCACTGCGAGCAGATTCACGGCTATGAGAAGGGTACTCGAACAAACATAAAAGATCGACCAACTGAGGAGAACAGAGGTCCAACAAAGATGATCAAGTTGAGGACAGCAAAAACATCGTCAGTATCTGCATAGCGTTTCAGAACCCCTTCAGTTCAACTCTTTCATCGACGTGGGGACCTTGAAAATCGAACGCTAACAGCGGAAACTGCTGTTAACGGTCAAAACCCCCGCACGGTACTTCAGTACTCACGATGCTATATCCTTTGAATAACGCAAACGCGGATGAACACCCAATAAGAAGAGGTAATTCATAATGACTCAAGTTGGTCATGATTTCGTGGGCGTCTTCCGCAATGATCGTACCTCTCTTGAACTATTTTGCCCGTATTCAATGTGATGGATGCAATCTTCTCCAACGAAACGCCTGAAACGATGCCGATCCATGACAACAACAGAATAAGAAAAGGAACGGTAAGGTGGGGAAAAGTAACTTGAAGCACTCCGAGGAGTCGGAGTGCGAGTCGGAACGCTGTTACAAGCCCGACGAGATTGATTGGAGTTCGTACTGAAGGCAAGACAAAGCTGGTATCACGGTCGTTATGGAAGAGCCCCAGGACCAAAATCCCTCGTCCTGAAAGTAATTCGGGCTCGAGGGTGAAAGTCAGAGCCATGAGCCGAGTTCTACGACATGAGTGGTAGAAAAAAAAACAAGCGTAAGACTCACAAACAACTCACCGAGAAACCCGTTGCCCCATCTTGTAAACCGAGGTTTGGCGGTCCCGACAAAGCCCACAAACGATTCAGGAAGCATCGAAGATCGTTCTAATGCATTGAGCTTTCTTCTCGCTCCGTGCCGATACTGTATGTGATTGCGGAATGAATTTCGTGGTCGGAAATCAAAACATGCACGGTTTCCAACGAGACTTTCGCGTGGGCCGCTTGAAATCTTGAGAGAGGCGGTGGTTAATCGCCGTCTGATGGCAAATGCATTCTAAGCCAGCTTTTCCTGTGCACTCAATATTCGATCCGGAGACTTCAGTATGTCATCGACACTGAAAATCAACTGAAAATATCTTCTCAGCTCCCGCTTCGATATCTGTTTCCTGTTTTGTTTTCAGAGTAAACTGCTTTTTCGCCGCGTTCCGCAAACAAAATGAGGCAATCACGAACTTTTGTGTGTCTGGTGTTCGCATTGCGTCTATGTCAAGTAGTCTTGTTTGGGGAGGAGAAATGATGACCGTTGAAATAACGATAGTCCCATCTCGTTAATCTTTCTGCAAGGTTATTACCGCGATTTGTCTTTCTGGCAAGATGTACAAGTTGAAGGAAATGGTGTCATCACGACTGGATGATAGCAAGTTACGAAAACGTGAATAGGGATGCAATTTTACGGTACGGAATATTACATACGCAAACCCAAAAGGCGAATCGTCTCAACATGATTCTCTACTATACATATTGCATGATGGGCTGTTCACGTCGTCGAACAGGGGTATGAGTTTGGAAGGACGGAAAGATTGAGCGGGTGAAGGAGGAATGATGAGAGGTAACACTCGGTCAACCGAACTAGAGGGTACGAAGTATGTAAATGTAAGCGTAAACGAGGAAATATGGATATGTAAACGTAGGGGAGGCATAATGATACGTAGATGCATGAATATCGGTAGAAGTAGAATACAAAAGAATGAAGGGCTGGCGAGGCTAGATGAAGAAGAGAAAAAGTTGAAATGAGTAGCCTGTAGGCATCTCCCTAGCCCAGATGCAGAAAAGAATCAAGAAAAATAAAGATATTTGTCATCAAAGCGCCATGCTATGTCTTCTCTCGTCCAACGTGGACACAATCCCACCGTCAGTGGTTCTCCTGCTCGTTCCTCTTCTACGTTCACCAAGATTGACCCAAGAGGCTCGTCCCAGCGACGGAACGTATTCTTCATCGGCATCGGCACCATCGTCGTCGTCGTCGTCATCATCAATTAGAATAGGACGGGATCTATTTCGTCTTGACGTGGATGAAGATGAGGGGGGTAGTCCGCTCATACCCGACGTACCACCATAACCAGAGCGAGGACGCTCATCCCTTTCTAAAGAGGATCGAGGAGTTTCCATCGCCAATTCTTCCGAGTTGCCGATCTCCACTGCTTGAATTTTATTATAAGACGACGAGGATGGCATCGAAGATCGAACACCGGTAGAGCGTTTCCTATTGGTCGTAGCTGCGGAGCCTTCGGGTGGATCTGGCTTCCGCATTTTCCTATCGCATTGAGTTATCGGTCAGTGGAAGACATCCGAAACGACGTGACAACCGACTTACGTGTTTAGTTTCGGTTCGGCATAATTTACACTCTTTCTTGTACGACGCTCTCTGCCATCGGCAGTGGCGTCAGCTTCTTGTTCACCAGGAGGCGGGGAAGGTGTTGGGAGATGTGATGTACGAGACGAAGGGGGCTCTATCTCGAGTTCTGAAATGGCTAAGAATGTCAAGTGTCAACGTACATAATGGAAGCGAGTGACAAAAAAGTACACTCACCTGCAGCATCCATTGGAGCAGTAGCAGGTGACCTCTGAGGAGAGTTTGTGACATCCTTTAGTTTTAGCTTCTTTCTTGCACCTTCATTTAGGAATACCTCATTGTCTTCCCGAAGCTTGGCCTTCTTCTTTTCGACAAATTCCGCAACCGTGGCCCCTTTTTCCTTCTTCGAAGATGATTTCGGCTTCTTTACGAGCATCGCTGCTTCCTCAAACTCCCCCTCGATATTATTAACGTCCACATGCATACCTGCTGCGGCGTTTTCGTCACGTTCCTCCGCCAATCCAGCTGCTCTTCGGATTGGTGAACCATAGGCCGGACTTGACGGCCTCGGAATGAAGCCCGCACTATCAGGCCCAAGCATTCGGGTATCGATCACCAGGCCACTCTGCCGGCGAGAAGGTTTTCGTTTGCTTGTTGCTTGTGGTATCGATTCGAAATCTATTTGAAGGGGTACAGATGAGGTCGAAGGTTCCGGGGGTGGTGGTGACGCTATTCGCGAGGGTAGCGGAAGCCTGGATGCTGAGAGCCGGGCTTTAGCTTTGGCTCTCCGCCGTGGACTGAGTTTTACAAGATTCGACTCTTCAGGTTCCTCTTCAGATGATGGGGACGGTTCAGCGTCCTCATGTATTTTTGGGACTGTGGGGACACGGGAAAGTTTAGTGGCGACGGGTGAGGTGGGGCTGGAGTTGCTCTGTAGTACAAGACGGCGAGCGGCTTTGGGAGGTGTGGGCGACGGTGACTGAGGCCCTTGTTCTGTTATATTGAATGCTTGACGTAGGAAAGTGAGATGTTTAGTCAATCCAAGCGCCTGTAAGACGCCGTTGGCCTACATCAGCGTCTCTGAACATGGTTGTGGTGAATACCAATCACTCACCGCCACCTCCGTCTCTGCAATGATCTGTCTAGATTTTTCACGTTCACGCTTGAGTTGCGTGGCTAGGGCTATCTCCGACGCGCGAAGTCGAAGATTTTCGGTGTAGAGTGTAGATATCTGAGCATTGAGTTCCTCGATCCGCACGCTCAGCGTGGAGTTGAGCCTCAATAATTTGAGGAATAATTTGTTTAGGGACGTTATGATCACTTTAAAGAGCTCTCCACTCACTTCGTTATGTGTTTATTTGCTAGCAAAAATTTCTTTTTGACTGTACATGCCACCAGGTCAGGAACGGGAAACGTGGAAGTTGAAACTACTTACAGTTCTCAAACTCGAACAAGGCGTCATTCTGCCTTGCATCGAGGGATGCGCGAGATTCTCTCCTGCTCATCCGTTGTCGATGGCAAGGGAGGTCTTGAGGATGTCGAGGTCAAGGTCGAGCCAGTTTTCGGCTCTGCTATCAGCGCGGCTGTCCACTGTGACAACTGTCCCACACCAACTTCATCACGTGAGTTAGTCACACTCCGGCCCGGAGATTATCCATGAGCCGAGTCCCAAACCTAAAGAGCTCGAGAAGACCA